TTCAAAGATGGTACTCCTTTAAGACTATAAAGCATTTTCACTAAACACCTGCTATTAGCTGTGCCCAGAAATTTGTACTTTATTCGAATTCGAAGTTTGATGACTTCGTGTAGACTTCGCAGCGCAAAGAAACTTTCCGCAAGGACACTGCCAGACAATATTAATCCAGTGGCTCAGTTAGCGATATTTTAACGAGCCTAACGTTGAGGTATAGATAGCTTATGAGAGTCTGCATTGATGCAAGCTATTAATTTATCCTAAGCGAATGTTCTATACAATATTAGCTTAGGATTAGTTACTAAATATTTTTATAATTAATTTTTTTATTTTTTTTTTTTATATTATAATCACAGAAAAAAAGTAGCGGCGCCCGAAATGAATAGCGAATGTTTTTTAAAACATAAACTTTGTCCTAAAGTCTAGGTCTAATGCAAGCTTGCAATAATGTGTCCGTCCGTCCGTCTTCCCATGGTGTATATCTTGACATATACGTCCTATTGTACTCTTATTATTTTTTTTTTTTTAATTATTATTATCACTAATCAATCAGGGGATCCTAGGGGATGTGACTGTTACTTACAAAGCAATGACTAAGCAGTGAAAGCATTATTTTATATTGCATTTCTAAAAATTTTCGAATATATTAACGACAATAACTTGCACTTTAGGTATTAATTTAATATTAATTTAATATTTTTTTTTATCAGAATTTCCTAATATTTCCGTTCAAGAGTGTTTGCCACTGGTATGCCTGTAAGAAGGAAAATTTTCAGCATATTTTACATATGCGCCAGAGATGACAAGTGTCTGAAAGTCGTCGTCTTAAAATAAATACTCTTCTTCTTACTTTTTCTTAGTTGTTGTTTTTAATATGTATACTGAAACAGATATAACTTATATTTAATGACTTTAAAAACGCATTCAAAAAAATATATATTTCAGCAGTTTTGTGATGCGGACATAAAGACAATATATGTAATATTTCATACGCTTTGCAAAAACAAAAAAAAAAAAAAATGTAAAAAAAAATATAAATAAATAAATAAATAAAAATATGTACGAATATATAAGCGATTTGCTTAATGTATGAAAGAAGAAGAGGAAGAGCAAAAAAACAAAAAACGCAAGAAAAACGAACCTAGTTCCAAACACATTTATTGTATTACTGTAGATAAAAAATGGTTTGTTGAAATATTTATGATTGCAACATCTTGCAACACATGTCAACTTAGTTCGTATGAGAAAGAAAGGAAACACAACAAAAGCAATGTTTATTATACTGGGATGTCTCGGTGTATATACGATGTATATGCATATAAGTATGTCCGCATATATACGCCTTTATGCGATTGCGTCAAGTGATGGTAGCCAAGAAAGTTAACTAAACTACAGTTTAAGATATCAAAGGAAAGGAAAATAGTTTCGAAATTTCTTAAAAATCTCATAAATTCAAAGGGTAAGAGTGCAATATAGACTGTCCTGTGAAATATGGGTCTCTTTAGAAAAATGCAAAAAATATTATAAAATTTTGGGAGCAAAAAAACTCTATATATATAAATACATATATATGTGTGTGTTTTTTTGAATAAAATGAGACTTAGAATTTTTTTTATTTTTTTTTTATTTTTTTGTTGTTCATTTTATTTATTTTCTAATTTAAATTTTGATATGCTATCAATACTATCCCGGTCGCCATTAGCGTATACAGTCGTGGGTTGCTATTGGAAATGCTGTTGTTGTTGTTGTTGTTGTTGTTATTGTTATTGTCATTGTTGTTGCTGTTGCTGGTGTTGCTGTTTGCTGTTACTATTGCCCCTGATGAATAAGACCCGATTTCGCGATTCATAAAAAATGCAAAAATTATTCGTTTTTCTGGTGGAAGAGAAAAAAAAAAAAAGCAAAAAAGCAAGAAAAAAAAAAGAAAAACACAACACATGCTGTTCCGAAACTGCTCTACCAGCGATTTGCATACATTGTGTTGTACTCACGGATTGCATTGCATTGCATGCATGCATGCAACAATTTCTTGTACTTTTTGTTAGCTCTTGAATATCTGATTTTGTATTCGTTAGACGGTGGTTGCTGATGCTTACATTTATACCCACATATGTCTATATGTCTGCGCTTATAAATTTTAGTTTGCATCGAATGAGGGACGATTTTATTTCTGTCGCTGTTCCTTTTTTATTTATTTTTATATATACAAATATATATATATATATATATATATATATATATATATATACTTCATAAGCCGCAAACTTTTTTAAAATTTCCATTGATTTCTTAGAATTGATTTTATGGAAATGACAAATTTTTGTTACTGGTTCAAGTCCTGACAATAAAGAACACGAAAAAATTTCAAAACCTTGAATTTTTCTTCTGTGCTTTATTACCCAAAAGGAGCGAACCTGTTTTTTTAAACCAAACCAGACGATCACATAAATCCTGATCAAAGAAATCAGAAAGAATAAAACAAAAAAAAAAACAAAAAAACTGGTTTGCTTTTTATTTTGTTTACTCCGGGTATAGTATAGAGGTTTCATTATTTTAAATATATGTACATGTATTAAGTCCGTTGCTGCATTACCGGTTGTTGTTTTTGTTTTTTTCGCTTACTTTGTTTACCCAGCCAGCAAGAGGCAAAATAAGAATAAGAAAAAGAAGAAGATCCTTGTTTGAGATATGAACATACAATGAAAATACATTTCTTTCTTACTTACAAAAGTTGGCCGGACTCTTTGCATATATATGTGTATATATATACATATATATATATACATAAAATAGCTTATGGTTTAACGGCAAACAATCGTGAAATAATCTGTCTCTATATCTTGTGCTGTGTGCTTTTAACTGAAATGTTGTGTATTTAAGAGCGTTTTTTAGGCCAATATTTTATTGGACTGTGGAGATATTTTATAGAGTGTTTAAGGAAATATTGCAAACACAAATTTATTTAGTTTTTAGTTTTTCAATTTTGTTCTCTTCAAAAAAAAAAAAAATAAATAAATAAATGACGTTTTTAAAAATTATCTTTTTTTTTTTATTTTTTTCTTTCTTCTCCTCCTCCTTCTTCTTCTTTGCTTGAATTCTGGAAAAATTTCGCAACATTTCATACGCTTTAAATAGAGCAAAGCATGCGCGCACCATATTGCCTTTGTTGCCAAGATGTGGGTGTAAAACTTTAACCAGCAAACAAAGTATATCAACAGAAAAGGAAAATAAAAATAAATATGTAAACATACACATAAACGCGGGCATTGCAAAAAGTTGTGTAGCTTATAGAAAATCAGTCAATAAGGCGTCTTTTGTACAGATACTAGACTAAATTGCTATAGGGGAGGCTCTAAAAAACCCATAACCAACACCAGCAAATAACATCTTTGCTTGCAACAACAACAACAATAACAATAACAACAACAACAACATTCATTGTTCACTATTGTGTGTTAATGCACGCTGTGTGCGGAGGAGTTTTGATAGAAAAAACAACATTACCCTGGTTGTATGCAAGTTTTCACTGCCGCTGCTGCTGCTGCTGCTGCTGCTGCTGCAGTTAGCAATTGTTGCTAGCTTAGTTTATGTTGTGAGATTATCATGCTATACGTCTTTTGTTTTTGTTTCTATATTTTTTTTTTTTATTTCATTTTTCATTTATTTATTTTTTCTTTTTTTTTCGCTTTTCGTGTTTATTTTATTTTGCGAGTTTTAAGTAAGCGAATCTTAAAGCCTTCAGCTAACAAAAGATAGATTAGATACCGTTCATTATTAGACTAACTGAATAAGCGTAACTAAATAAAAAAATTATCCATAAAAACGTTACTGCCGCTACCTATTATTGGGCCTCTCACCTATACAAATAACCTGATAATATTGCGATGTGAATTCAAATATGAAATATAATGAAATACATGAAATGGAAATCTTTTGCAAACGCTTAAGTGAAATAAACTATTTATGATTAACAGGTTGAAATTAATTTAACCTATCACAAATCTTCAAAGTATTAGTTATGAATGGACAAGAGGCTGTGAAGGAAATTGCAGACGAAACAATCAAGTGTGTCAGCAAAATCACGCCTATTTCTGTAGAAGTGCAACACTTATTATTTTTTCTACCATCTATAGCAAGCTTTTTCCTTCTAATATCAAAGATTGTCCCGCATTCATGTTAGTATTCGGCAAAGGGCTCATTATACTCCACTGGACTTATGGTACAAGAATATATATAAAGTTGGTGTAGATGTGCGCAACACATGATGAATATTGTGATGAAATATGAAAATCCTTCGGATCGGACAAACTTTTCGTCCAATTCCCTTACTTTGAAAAGTTGTTATATGAACAAGTATCGAGCGTAATGTAATGCGAGTAATGTGTTGCAGCCCACTTTAGTCTTTCTACTTGCTTTACATTAATTTTATCTCAATAAAGTATCAATGGCTGGAACTGGAGAAGAAGATAGACATTAATAACAATCAATTTACTTAGTGAGAATGTGCATACCATAGAAAGCAAAAAAGTGGATGCAATATATCGCGCGTCAGACGGAGAGGAAAGTTTAGAGGAAAAGATGTATATATAAATTTTTTAGCCTTTAGTCGTAATACCGGCATCACGATAAATTATACCACTGCCAAAAATGTTCCTCTGCTCACTACTTCATTTCTATGGTTGTATTATCCTACTCGTTACTACTCCTATAAGTCTTTTGTGCACTTCTTACTACGTCAATAAAATATTGAATTGAATGCTTCATCATACGTTGATTCCACGTATAATTCTTAGCAAAAATATGGAAATCAGTTTGCACTAATTAGGCCAACTAAGTATCATTCAATAAACAAACGCTTTGGAACATGGTTCGACAACTTTATATAAAGCACAGCAGGGGTTATTGCTTACGTTTTTTAAAATTTGAATTTTTTCAGTTAACCAATTTATGCCTTCATCTACATTTGCAATAAGCGTAGTAAATAAATGGTTTTGTTGTTTCAGATGAAATGCTTCAAGTGGAAGATGATATGGACTTATTGAGCTGATAAAACCAAAGTTACGCTACTCTATGTCTACTCAACAGAGCAATGAATAAAGGTAAGTACATTTTTATTTGTAATAAATTGATTCCATATATTGGCTGATAATTGCTGTTGTTACACAGTCACACCTGTAGCACTCTTCACCTACTACTACAGCTACCTTAAAAAAAACTAAAAAATATTTTAATTTCATATCTTTATCAAAGAGAGTTTCTGGAATGCTAGCAACAATCCGAGCCTGCCAGACAGTTAATGCTCTGGTCAGCAATTTCATGTAATAAGTAAAGAAAGCATTTTCTGTTCTTGTATTTCTTTCTAAAATTCGTCTTTACCCACTCTACCAACGTAGCCTCGATCAAGAGTGATGCGATGAACTGAAGGCTTCTTTAACATTTCAATAAAGTTTTTATTGAACGATTCGTGAAGACTCTCAAACTGCGCTTCAGCTTTCGCAATAGCTTCACTGTTTTCCCCATAGCATCATTTGAAGATTTGCAAACAGATAATAAAAGCGGGGCTATAGATCTGACGAATTCGGCAAGAGAAGCACAAGTTAGAACTTCAGTTTAAAGCATTTTGTTATTGCAGCCATCAACTTTTGAACCGCTGTCTCGTTTTGCTTGGTTTCTTCTTTAATCGCATCAAAAGTACAATAAAATTTTCGTGCGATTCGTAGTTCCTTTGCTCCGACGGCCATCTTTTCGATCGCTTTGCGCGACTGTAAGCAGTGCCCTTTTGCTCAACTGGGCTTTAATTCGATTTAAAGCAAAAGTAGTGATGTATCAATGTTGCGTCCTTTGCCACACACAATATGAAAAAATCTCTTCAATCGCTAACATGTTGGAGTTTATGTTCCTCTGCGAGTAACAACGATACTCATTTGGGAAACAAATTTCTCCTGCCTTTTGATGTCTTTGGGAGGTCAGTTTTCTGTTGTATGCATCTTTTGTGAATATTCACTGTATTCAGCATCGTCACCGTCCGAACGGCTTTGTCTGACATCAGCAAACCAACGACAGGTTAATGTTTTTCCTGGCGTAAAACCGACAATGAACAGTGAAAAGTAGTGAAATTCTGTTCCTTCCATTTCCTCCCAAATGTTTCCTCACCCTACGACAGTGAGTGCAGTAATTAATAAACTTTCAGATAATATTCAAATTTATTAGAATATGCAACACATTAGATAAAAAGCCCTCTATTCTAACTCCTAATTGACGTCGTTGTTAATTATTTAACCAATTCTCGCTCGTGATTGACTAATGAGTAGTTTTCAAGGTAGTTGATAAGAAGAAAGCTTCACTTCTTTTCCTGACCAGCGTTAAACATCGTCAAGCTTTCTTTCTGGATCCAACAAGCCTTGACAGGAAATTTTGCAATTTTGGTAACACTTTTTACTCACTTAAAGAAAACGGCTAAAAGAGGAACGGGTCACTAAAAGAATGTACATCAAGTGCAAACATTAAAATATTAGTTTTGTAATATAATGAAGAAAAACTAACAGAATTACGTGTAAACATTATATATGAAAATACATACAAATTTTACTATTTTCTACGCTTCCCTTTTTGTTCTACATATACATATAAATAGATAGACATTTTTTATTTGTACAATGCAGCTTAAATGAAATAAATTTTCCAATGTCTAGAAGGATGTGCAGTTTTTCAAAAATACAACGAAATATAATAAAATAAAATAAAGAGATTGCAAGAGAGATGGAGAGAGAGACAGTGAGGAAGAGAGAAAAGTCGTAAGAACAAATAAAGTTTTTACTCGTTTTTTTTTTTTTTTGCTGCTTATATTTGCCATTGTTGCTGTTGTTTGTAGTGTATTCTTCTTGTATATATTGCGTTATATTTTTCTTGTTAATGAAAATTCAAATTAAGCTAAAAAGTGTAACATCAAGTGAAACAAAAACAAATTTCTTATAAATACCGAAACACACCATAATACAGCTTGAACAATAACGAGCAACAATAGACGAGACCGTATTATTTATATAAGAAAGATTGTATTTTGTATTTTATTTAGAAAGATATCAAAGCACAAACACACAAACACACAAACACACACACACACAAACACACACACACACACACACACACACACACACACATACTTTCATTGCAAACGCTGTTGTTGCATACGTACGTAGTTAGAAGAAAGGCTTAATAGCAACTAATGTACGTATATACGTATGTACGTGTATATACATTAGATTTCCTTGCAAAGTCTTTTGAATATTGATATGCTGTCGTTTTGTGTGCCTATGTGTAAGTGTTTATTTTTTCCTTACTTTTATCTTTTGTCTACGCTAACAACTTGTATATTGCCTTGTTTCAAAGTTTTTCTTTTATGTATGTGGTAACAAATTTCATGCATATATAAATATGCATATATATATATATATATATATATATATATACTATATACATATATCTTGCGGCTTTCCCTAACACGTACACTGTCTATACTTTTAAATCTCTTAAGATATGTAATTAAATAGAAAATTGTATGAATTTTTTGGCATCAAGTTTTATGCATGCAATACACAATACAAATGCGCATATAGTGAAAGTATCCTAGAACAGACACAGACACTGACACAGACACGCCTATCAATCCAGCATATTTATTCATTTCATTTAACGCCTTGTATTACTTGGGGTTAATTGTGAATGTTTGATCATTAAATGACAAGAATTTGAAAAAACAAAAAAAGGAGAAAATTAAGGAGTGAGTGTCCTTTTGTGGTAAAAATTTCAAGCGATTGCTCTTCTAAAACATCTTCACTGTATGTGTAAAAAAGCTTTATGGTATTAAACTACATGTGTTGTGGATTTTCCTTTTGCTTTTCTTTCTTGTTGAATCGCTTTTTAAACCAAATGTTCATGTTGAAGCTTAAGAACATTCAAACATGACATGGTTTGTGGCCGAACTCTTATATGTATATGTATATATAAACAGATTGTAATAAACTTCATCAAAAGGATTAATATTAGTTCCAAGACGCATTTAAAAATTAGAAATTCCAAAGCATTGGTTGATATGTTGTCTTTCAGACAGGCATCGTGGTTTTAATGTCCAGTTTGGTCAGATGCTAAGAAACACTTTAGTTTACCGATCTCTGTAAAATAGCATAAATAGTTTAGATTATGTATAAATCGAATGTTGATAGAACTACGGATGAAAGTGCGAGTGATTTTATTTATTAGTAACGAGATATACAGATATACAGAACTACTAATTAAATTTTCCATTATCATTATTATAATCATTAATTTAGCCAGAGAAATAAACTTCAAGACTGAAAGACTTAGGAGCACTAGCATCTATCTAGCAGCTATCGGCTTTTATTGAACACACTACTGTACTCGATATTTGTACCCACTGAGTTGTCAGTGGAGATCCTTTGCCTACTCAGTCACTCAGGTGAATTTAAATCTCTTAACTAATTTAATTTTACTTTTTACGTGAATATGTCGAAATGGTACTTGCACTCTCCATCCATATCACCTTGCGGAGAATAAGTAGATGATTTGGTTCCTCTACAATGATGGAAATAACACTTTTCATAAGGACTAAGTGTTCAGTGACGCATGCATGCCACTCTGAAGAGAATCCAAACTAACAAACATACCGGGAAACTTACAAAATATCACTATGACTGTTAGTAAGGAAGTGGAAATATGAAAGGGAAACCTTTTCGACAATTGACATAAATGAAGAAAATTAGTTTGTAAAACAAAAACTGAAAATCTTCAGAATAGACTTTTAAGGGCGACGTTCATTGAATTTTTCCTTGGCGATGGCCGTTTTCGACGTGGTCAACACAGGTTCGATCCTGACAACTCACCAGTACGTCCGATCTGTGGAAGGAAGGCTCACAATAAATGGCTTCGTGACCAAGATGCTTCACGACTTAAGGCAAGAGATAGCCGGTAGCGAAAAGGGGAAGCGGAAGCCAATAGGGTATATCGCCAAGGTCCTACCTACAAGAAGCGTCTTAATCACTGTTAGTCTCCACGAAGTATTGCGTGGCGATGGTCCCACGGAGAAGAGTGGTAGATAAAATGTGTGTGTACGCTTTAGTACATATGCGTCATGCATGACAAATGGTGCAGACTGCTAGTACGGGCCAGTAGTGTCTTTTGAAGGTTTACATCTCCACCTTGCGTAGCGAAAGAAAAACCAACACACCCGCACACAAACTCATTTTGAAGACTGCGTTTTATAGAACTCATCCTTCAGTTATTCTTACTTACTTACTTACTTGGTAAGAACGGCCGGTTACGCCAGATAGAACTTATTCGTTCTATTTCTTTGTTTTAATAGACGCAGAGAAACTTCAACAAGCAAGACAAACGATGAAAAAGTAGTTTTGCTTTTTGGTGTTCAGGGCTAAGATATTCTCAAAATATTTTTATATTGACACATCGACAACATTGAAAAAGTCTAGTGAAGATAAAGCGCTTCTATGACAAATGTAGTTTCTTAACATCTACTGGCCATTATACATTCCCCTCAGCCAACTTATTTAATTATATTTACTTATTGAACTAAATTGAACTCACTTAAGTAATATCTCAATACCATCAAGCATATGATGAAAATGAAGTTTGACTTCATGAACTGCTTTGCGTGTAATAGACCGTGAACAAGACAAATAAATCCTTGCAATTGAAGCAATGTTGTTTTTCCTTTTCAAATATTTGCACGTATGCGTGTATGTGTAACGGACGCACACATAACAGAAATCCTTTTTATTGCGCATATACATTTCGTTTTTCATATTTATATGAACGCTTTTATATTAATGTCAACTTGATGGTAATTTCAACTAAAAAGCTGCGATACATCAAATGTTTGCAGCACACATTAATGCAAATGCATATATATATATATATATATATATATATACTATATATACTATATATATAGGCGTGTGTATGCTTTCAGCAATGACATCGGATGTCTTTGGTATATAGAACTTTTTTCTGTCTTCTTTTTTTTTTTAAATGAGTACATGAAGTAGCCGTTGGCTTAGAGTCGTCC